ATGATGCGCCAGCAGAGGTCATAAATGTGCGCCTGCTGCTGTGGGGAAACTATGGAAACTACAGTTTTCTATACAGCGGACTACAACATGGATGTTTAATAAGAACGAGGGACTACTGTAAACTCATCTAGAGACTCTGCACCGTGCTCTGATGCTGTTGTTTTATGCTTTATGAACGTGGACAACAGAGAAACATATTCTTCATGACCAAAGTTGAAATTGAAATAAAAAAGGAAAGTGAAACTTATGCTCGTCACTCTCTCCCTCCGGTCCACATTAATACAAATGATCCCAATACATATGATTGTATGAAAAGATCTTAAAATCAATACAAATGTATTTATTATAAACGTTAGTCCTTAACATCTATCACTGTGTATATCACCATTCAAACATCTTTTAAAAGTTGAACAAACCCCACACAGCTCAGTAAAGACTGTGAAATGTTGACTTTATTTGATCATTTCAGTAAAAACTAACGTTCATATTTCTCTTTTTGATTATAATACTGATGAACGTTCAAAACAAAGCACTTTGGCAACTTACCACATACGTTTTAAAATGCTTAATAAGCACCGTAACTTTCATGATATCATTTCTCGTTCATAATCGGTTGTTTCCGTGAACAGCCGACTGTTGTGTGACGGCAAATGCTGCGGCCGCAAGGCATTGTGGGGCAGCATTTTCTCCTCTCCTTTCGGTTAGGGAGGTCCAGTGGTTCCTAGGCTAAAGGAGGTTATAAAGGAAGTTTGAAACCTCCTTTCCTTTTAATTTAGAGAATTCGAACGGCACTTATCATGGCTGCCACTGAGGGACTTCCGGGTCATTTCACTCCGTTAGGAAGGTTCCTAAGCTAAATGGACTATTCGAATGCAACCGAGGCTTCGGTGTTGCCAACTTGGCGACTTTCTCGCTAGATCGGGCGACTTTCCAAACCCTCCGGCTACTTTTTTTTTGTCAAAAGCGACTAGCGACAAATCCAGCTACTTTTTCTGGTGTTATTGGAGACTTTTCTGGTGTTTGGAGAATCTGACGTGATAGCACGTAATTGTTATGCAGTTACTTTCCTCAACGAGCAGCGGGTGCTGAGCCCCTCCGCCGTCCCAAAGCACTCACAGGCAGCCTCGCTAGGCAGCTGCACTCGAGCAGAGAGGTGGCAAAGTGACCCAAAAGAGACACACTACGCGACGGTCCAGACCATAGGTCCAGACTGAATATTAATCGCGCAAAGCCATTGCTGATCCCCAGGGGTTAAATTGGGATTTGATATGTGGGGGGGGCGCTGTGTGGAGGTGCGAGAGGGGGGCGGAGGTCGAGGATCTCATTATTTGACCTTAAGGGATATACACTGTGGCCCTAAAGCAACTGCTCCATTATCTGTATCAAATGCACACATTGATGCCACCAAATGTCACAATAAAAATAGAAAGTACTACAAATAAACTGGAATTCATTTACATCTTAAATTATTAATATATATACACACAAAAAGGTTTACAAATATCCAACCTTCAAATTGCTTTTTTAAATCAACACTGCTCTGCACACTTGCTAAAGAACATTTGTGTGGAAATCTCAATTCATTTGTAGGGCTGCGTGAGTATGGCCAAAAGTATGGGAGTAAATCTCACTGTAAACTATTTAACCATCACCAAATTCTGTGTTATTATGACCGATCATAACTCAGCTTTATGCAGACATACATTTAGCATGGTGTACAGGGCCGGTTTTTGGCATAGGCGACATAGGCAGTTGCCTATAGGGCGCCAGATCTGGGGGGGCGCTGCGCTGGCAGCTCTGGGAGGGAAAAAAACATTTTTGACTGTTTGCGCTCATCCTAATTTTCGGCCTTGATGTAACAACATTCATAATTAAGTAAATGTAACACCCTTTTCACCCCGGTTACACTTTTCATTTGCCCTGTACGATGGGCGCTGTAAGTGATGAAAGTGGGGGGTGTTGGCTTATCAGGCGTCCGCAGCTCACAGCCAAAGTGGGCGTGGGAGCGAGCAAGAGAGATAAATGCAATTTATGTAAACAAATATTTCCAAGGCACTCCTTTATAATTATTTGGATAAACAGGTTTGAAATCATTCCAATGTATACTATAGGACAGTAAACCAAAAATATCGTTTAAAACTTGAGAGAGAAAAAAATATGCATAAATAAATGTTAACTAGGTAAAATAAGATATGAATGAACAACAAAAATAAAATAAGTCACATTTATTTGTTATTGGCTATGGTAGGTTATTGGTTATGTTCACATACTTCTTTGATTATTAAAATGTAAACCGATCTTTTTCATACGGGTGTTTAGAGTTGTACCCCCTAGATCAGGTATCTAGTAATGTGTGCTTAAAGTGCACCAGATTGAAGCATTTTACTTTAACATTTCAAACATTTCTTCCTGGGGGGTCATACCCCCGGACCCCAGAGGATGTGACGTCCACACCCCAATTAAAACATGTTCATACAATACTGAATACATTTTAAGCCATTTTGACGTATATTACCTATGTCAATAACTTTCTGTTTTTGTAGTGCATTGGTCTTTTGTAGAGATTTTTCATTTATTCTTTATATATTCTATTGTGTATTTCTTGGATACTTTTATCTTTTCTACTGTACGATTGAAGTAAATGTGGGAAGCGTTTAACAACAGCCATTTACTTCAAAGATTTTTCTCAATGTTATTCTTATTTTTGTTAATCCTGAAAGAATGCCAGAAAAAAAGACATTCTCTTCAAGAATAAAAAAAAACATGACATTAGTAATTGTGATAACAAATTAAATAAGTTGTTAGGTTAAGTCAGGGCCGGTTTTTGGCATAGGGCGCCAGATCTGGGGGGGCGCTGTGCTGGCAGCTCTGTGAGGGAAAAAAACATTTTTGACTGTTTGCGCTCATCCTAATAAAGCCTTGATGTAACAACATTCATAACTAGAGAATGCAATTCCTGAAGAAATTGCTAGTGGGAATGCTTTATGCTGAAAAGCTGACGCTGAATTGCTATGCTGAAATGTAATGTGTAAGAAAAAAGTGAAGAATTTAGATTGAAATGATACATGAACACTGGGGGCTTGAATGTGTGATGAGAGAAGAAAAGAAAGTAAAAAGGCTTGGAAAAGCAGCAGAATATTTGAACTGCAAACTTTTGAACTAACTTGATGGCGAATGATCTGTCGCCATGCCAACGGCATTTGATGACATCCCATATTACGCTTAGATGCGTTGATGGCTGCATCGTTACCAAACCTGTGAAGTTTTGGGCCGTTTGGAGTATTTTCACTGAAGTTATGAGAAAACCGTGTTTCATGGTGAGCATTGTGTTGCCATGGCAACGGCATTTGAAGAAATCTCAAAACTGTCCCACATGTGAAGTTTGAGCACTTTTTGAACATTTTCATAGGAGTTATAGCAACATCATCTTTTATGGCGAGGGATGCGTTTCCATGGAAACGGCATATGGGGAGATCTCAGATTTGGTGTAGAGCTGTTGAGGCATGGACCGGTGATATACAAGTGAAGATTGGGGGACGATTGGACCGTGTCGATTGGACTTACAGCGACATCGTGTTTCATGGCGAGTGGTCTGTCGCCATGGCAACGGCATTTGATGACACCCCATAATACGCTTAGATGCGTTGATGGCTGCATCCAAACCTGTGAAGTTTTGGGCCGTTTGGAGCATTTTCACTGAAGTTATGAGAAAACCGTGTTTCATGGCGAGCATTGTGTTGCCATGGCAACGGCATTTGAAGAAATCTCAAAACTGCCCTGTAGATGTCTTCACGGCTGGACTGTTAGCACACATGTGAAGTTTGAGCACTTTTTGAACATTTTCATAGGAGTTGATGTATAGCGACATCGTCTTTTACGGCGAGGGATGTGTTTCCATGGAAACGGCATATGATGACACCCCATAATTGACGTAGAGCTGTTGAGGGCAGGACCATTAACCATTATCTGAAGTCTGCTGCTCTGAGCATGTCAGTTGGAGTTATGACATCATCGTGTTCCATGACACAGGTGTTTATATTTGAGCTAACGAGGTGTCCAGAGATCAAAGGTTTCCATTGTTCTGAATGAGATAAACCTCTTACATGTGAACGTTTTGTTGAAGAACCGTAACAGATATCGGTGAAATTTCAAAGCGTGAAGCATCTCAAGGACTTTGAGTATCTGAAGTGTGCTTTTTGTGTACTTTCGGGTTAATAATGTGGCCTTTTTGGCAGATTAACTAAAGGTGTGCGGCTGCTGCTGTGAGGAAATATCAGCCTGAAATTACAATGGGCTTTAATGGAGACATGTTGAACGTTTTTGTCACTTCATGCCCTCAAGAGGCATTTTGTTTAATTATTTTTGCTTAATTATTTATCATTTTTCAAGCTACGAGATGTTTTCCTACGTTTGTCATGAAAATGATGTCTCAGGAATGTAGGGTTTGGGAATTATGGCAGTTTAAAAAAAAAATATGAAGGCAAATTTCAAACTGTCCTCCACTGACATCACGCACTCTGCCTTAACGAGCTGCGCAATGTTAAAGTTAAAATGTTAGAAATTTGATGAATTATGGGATGTATCTCTGGAATTATGAAAGTTATGAATGAGAAAAGTAATAGCCATCGATTCCCGACCGAGCTGAACGTTTTGATGTTTGAACGGAGTTTCTGCGATGTGGAATGTGGGCGAAGAAGAGGGCCAAAATAACAGGCGGAGTAATTAAGAATTGTGTGCGTAGAAGAACAGATAGTTGGAATTATCTGTTAACAGCATTCCAACTAAATGTAACACCCTTTTCACCCCGGTTACACTTTTCATTTGCCCTGTACGATGGGCGCTGTAAGTGATGAAAGTGGGGGCCGGGTGTTGGCTTATCAGGCGCCCGCAGCTCACAGCCAAAGTGGGCGTGGGATCGAGCGAGAGAGATAAATGCAATTTATGTAAATAAATATTTCCAAGGCACTCCTTCCTTCTTCGGAAGTAGATGGGCTGTCAAACATATATATAGTCTATGCTGTTAACACTTCATGATCCAGCCTCGACAGGAAGAAGACGGAATTCTCCACTAGCATAGGCACCTGTAAAATCTATATTTTTTGCTTTTGTTTGTAAAACGTAATGTCAATATGAGATAGATAGTAATGCGTTACGATGCTCGCAGTGTTTGTTGTCCTCGGTGAGTATCTTACAGGGTTCATGACGAACTTTAGCAAAGAACTGTGTTAGTTTGTTAAAGTAAGAAAGATAATGACAGATTCGAGCTAGACGGATCAATAACCTAAACAAAACGTTAAAAATACTTACAATGTAGACAACGAGCTACAGAGTGTTTTATCAAAACTACATTATGGTGTTCAATAACTTCAGTTATAAAGAAAGTGTGCTAATAACATCACTTCACACATTAATGGGTCCCTGCTGCTTATAGTACACCAATACTTTAGGGGAAATATATTTATGAAGTATTTGACTGATTTGTTTTCTCGTAAAACATTTGTAATTATTTCCCTTTAATGCATTGTAGTGCTACCGAAAGGACTTCACACATTTTTGGTCTCCTGCTGCTAATACTACTATCGATAACTATTGGGGAAATAAATGCAATAAACATAATATAATGAATAATGCAAGCAGGTAAAACTATAGGGGTCTCCTGGACATCATCTTGGTGTCAATATACTTTGGACCAGGAACATTAGGATCATTAAAATAATTTATTTAAAAAATAAGTGTTGTAGCTTGACCTACATATTAAATGCATTAACATGTATCAACCAGAGACTGTATATACAGTATATATATATAGGTATACATTCAAAGTAAGGGATACATTGCAAAGTCTTAACTGGCACATCACTATTATGTGAATGTACAGACTCATACTACTTTCAAGATTCAAGGCTTTTATTGTCATAGCTACAGTGTAGATATATCAATGAAAAACGTAGGTCGCAGGCTCCTCCAACAGTGCAACACAATACAACTGATAAAATACTGCAAGAAAATACAAATACAATAGAATAGAAATAGTCCAAGAAGACTTAACACTGAACTGCTGTTTCTTTAACAGGGTGTGTGTCCTTCGTGGCACCAGAGCTCTCCTGTCCTCCCAAGCAATATGTTTCAAAAGCTGGTTGTTGTCCTATGTGCAGAAAAGGTAAGTTATATCTAACAAGTATTACAAAATCAGAAGTCAGCGAGAGCATTTTAAAGGATGAATTTAACTGGGATTTCCGAAGCTGAAGTTGGCTTTGCTCCCTGAAGTGCTCCATCAAAGACCTGAAACGGGATGAACATAATTGTTACTGACTCTAATCTTAATTTTCTAATTGTAATTTGCCTTCATGTCTTGATGTTGAGATGCTGACAGAGTGTTTGCTTTTTGAACAGGAACCATTGTTCAGGAGGACTGCTCGTATGTAGCAGGCACACTCTGCAGCCGCTGTGAGAAAGGGACTTTTATGAACAAACCCAACGGACTCGATAGATGTTTCACATGCACCTCCTGTGACCCAGGTATGTCTTTAATGTGTTATTATGATGTCTTTGTAATCTTTTATGACAGTAACAGTGGATATCTTGGTGTCTTTGGACCGTTGGTTAGATAAAACCAGTTATTTGTTATACTTTGATGGATGCATTTCTCACTTTGCTGTGGCACTGTATACAAAACATGTAATCAGTTAAGATTAACATCACTTTATAAATCCCTGAGGGGAAATTCAGTTAAAGGATTTTGTCAGTCTTGATAATGGAAATATTCCTAAATTGCAACACTGGTGTAGATTTAATAATCACCACAAATATGTATTAACTAATAAATCAACCAAATGCCAACTGTGTTCCAAACGTAAACATATGTGCATATAAACATCTATGTAAGCATATGCTTACCTCTATGCACAGTAAATGAGGGGAATGCATAACATCAGATCTGCTTCAGGTCTCTTCACATGTGGAGAGGGGAGAAAGGAGGGAGGTGGGGGGGGGGGGTGTGGGTAAGTTAGATGTAGTCAACAAGCAGCTGCTACATTGGTTATACAAGGGTGAAGAGAGTTCTACAGTGTACAGGATACATGACAAGTCATATTCAATACAGACCAATAATAATAAATGTAAAGAAATATTATTTTCTAAAACTCCAAGTCCATTAAACGCATCATTATTTTCCGATAATCTGTCGCTCAAATACAAATGATTGGACTGAAATATAACAGGCTTTTATGTAATTATTTTGTAAGTGCATTTAATAAGACGTCTATTATATTCCATCCACAATTCTCTTATTTCCTGCTTTTAACATTTTATTTTTTATTTTTGTGATATATATCTATATATATTTGTATCTATATATATATATATATATATATTACAGGGGTGCACATAACTGGTACGCAGGTACAGCAAAAATCTGAATTGCGTAACGTCCCTTGTGTCACTGCGCGCCTTTGCGGTGCAGGGTAGCTTGTGAATTTACTCCAGGTGGAACTAAAGTCTGATTTAAGACTTGATTATATTTCTCATCATTCATCCAGATCTGTAAAGTAACTAAAGGTATTAAATACATGTAGTGGAGTAAAAGTACACCATTTACCTCTGAACTGTAGTGGAGGAGAAGTACTAAGTAGCATAAAATAGAAATACTCAAGTAAAGTGCAAGTATCTCAAAATGGTACTTAAGTACAGTACTTGAATACGTGTATTTAGTTACTTCCCACATCTGAAATCAGATATGACTTCAAGTCATGTGATAATTTCTTAGTATTTGATCCTTCAACTTGGCCTCAGGAAATGCAAGGAGTTATGTGCACCCCTGTATATATATCTATAGATAATATATATACTGTGTATATATATATATATACTGTATATCTATATATATGTTTTTCAAGAAAGCTGGCAAGATGTGTGAGTTGGATTTTAAATATTATTTAGGTTTGCATACATTGACTGTTTCTTTCTGCTTGTTTCTTTAGGCCACGGCCTCTTTGTCTTGCAGGGCTGTTCAGAAACAACTGACACAGTCTGTGAAGTTATAGATGGCTATTTCTGCAAAGATTTAGATGTGACAGGATGCAGTGCGGCACAGAAACATACAACATGTGTACCTGGCGGGAGGATAAAAGAACCTGGTAAGTAAAATGCAGGTCACACTCTCCTGACAGTGACTGTTTACATATGCACACTGAAGGCCTGAGGCCTGTACTACGAAGCCGGTTCAACATACCCTGGATATGTTTGAGTTACCCGGTTTACCTAATCCAAAACAAACGCGCTCTCGCTAAACTGTCCTACGACGCTGGTTATCAACTCGTTAACTCAAGCCAGGGTTTCTCTGTCCGACTGAGTGCGCGTTCACATGAAAGGGGCGGGGCTAGCAACATTTGACCAATCACAAACATGGACAAGCGTACTGACAGCGCACCTCACACACCAGGATCCCTTGGCTAACTAACAGGGAGTCAGCGTCATACGTCACAGATTATTCCGTGTAAGCAAGTCAAAATATACCCTAATAACAAACCATGGGTGACCAAGGCGGTTAAGTCCTGCATTCAGAAAAAGAAACAAGCTTTTAAACAGGGAAGTGCCTCTGATCTGCATAATGCTAATAGGGAACTTAAAATAGAAATTCTGAAAGCTAAACAGAATTTTAAATCTGAACTACAAAACAAAATGGCTGCAAACAACCTTGGCTCAGTCTGGAGTAGCATGAAAACCATAACAGGCCTCCGGGAAACAAAGAATAGCTGCCATGTGACTCTGGATGGCTTTAATTCAGATGTTGAGTTTGCAAATGCCCTAAATAAAAAAAATTCTCGATTTGACACATTTGATTTCAGTAATAATATATCTGAACTGAAGCTTAAACTTGAAGACAATAAGCATTTTAACATAGATCAGAGGGAAGTGGAAAAGGCCTTCCATTTAGTAAAAATAAATAAGAGTCATGGACCTGACAACATCTGCGGTCGGCTCAGGGTCGTCTACTTAAAGGGGACCTATCATGCAAAATGCACTTTTGTACGTCTTTTATACATGAATATGTGTCCCCGGTGTTCCAGGGAACTCACCAAGTGTCAGAAAACACAACCCTCTCTATTTTCCTCCATACCCAAATCTCTAAAAAAGGGGCTGCAACGGATCTGATAAAAACTGATCCAGATTTGAACACTGTCCTGACGTCAGGACGGTGGCGCTACGGCTATTGGGCCAACTCCACCAATCAGGAGGAGACAGCCACGGCAATGTTCGAAAGTGCTGGAGACGATGTAGTACATATGCCAGGCCTGTAGGTGGTGCTGTTCTCACTGAATCAGCCCTTGCAAAAACAGGGGTAAAAAAGTGAAATGAGGCATGGCTAAAATGCATGATCTGTTTGGTAATTTGAAAAAAAAAAAAGTATAAATATGCCTTATATAGGTATGGCCCTACACTATATTATTATAATATAGCATGATAGGTCCACTTTAAGTAAGCTTTCTTAACGCTAATGTTATAATAGTCAGATTGCTCTGAAGATGAGAGGTGATATTCTATTAATTTTCACGTTCACACAGTCAGGCGATTTTTGCCGGCCGTCTTTCCTGCAACGGCAGTTTAAACTGTATTTCCTTTCTCCTGTAATATGACTTGATCGCTTTAAACTCCGCACACTGAGCTCTGATTGGTCAGCAGGCGGTGCTTTCACTGAGTTGATCTGTTATCCTGGAACCTAACCTGCTCCGGAGCAGGGGGGTATACTACGAATCTAGTTCAACATATCCTGGATATGTTTTGAGTTATCCGGCTGACTAAATCCAAAAAAAAACAAACGCTCTGGCTAAACTGTCCTACGACGCTGGCTATCACCTCGACCGCAAGCCAGCCGTGTCCTATCTAGTTAGGTGCGCGTTCACATGAAAGGGGTTGTATTTGGAGTGTTCGACCAATCACAAACATGGACAAGCCGTGTACTGACAGCGCAGCGCGTCATATATTTCCTGAATGAAAAGTCAACTAATATTAGACAAATATGAAGACGTTAAACTTTAAACATCCATGACTTAAACACTTTATTCAGGATAAAAGCCACATAGCTGCACCTGCAAGGTGAATACTGCTGGTAAAAAAAAAAGTGTTTGAATACGTTCATTAACAGTTTTATGATATCACTGCTGCCCCGTCCAAGACACGAGTGGATCTGACTTTAATTACATTTGACTCGAGTGTTTCGTCAACTTAATGTGTTGCTTAAAATAATACTTCTGCATACAGTATGTGACACCGAGTGTTGCACGCCAGATACGGCTCAAGAAGCTGACTCAGATAAGGAAATATATGATACATTATGATGTGATATGATATGAATGATAATGAGACACATCGCCGTCTGCACTCACAGTGCACTGTATGCTACGTAATGTTACTTTGATCCGGTTACTTATGTTGTGGCAGATATTTAAGTAAGCTTTCTTAACGCTAATGTTATAATAGTCAGATTGCTCTGAAGATGGGAGGGGATATTCTATTAATTTTCACGTTCACACAGTCGGTGATTTTGGCCGGTCGTCTTTCCTGCAACGGCAGTTTAAACTGTATTTCCTTTCTCCTGTAATATGAATTGATCGCTTTAAACTCCGCACACTGAGCTCTGATTGGTCAGCAGGCAGTGCTTTTATCCTGGAACCTATCCTGCTCCGGAGGATAGCCGTTCAGAATAAGTTATCTAGCCCGCTAAAAAGTGAACCAGCTTCGTAGGACCGGAAACCCCTGAAGTTAGCTTGCTAAACGAAAATCTTGATTCGTAGTATAGCCCCCAGGCTAGCCGTTCAGCATAAGTTACCATGGAGATCTAGCCCGCTAAGAAGAGAACCAGCGTCGTAGGACCGGAAACCCAGAGTTTTCCCTGAAGTTAGCTCGCTAAGCGAAAATCCGGCTTCGTAGTACAGGCCTCTGGTCTTAATCATAAACTTAATATGATGTTTACATTACACAAAGTATCAGACAATCATTTTATCAAATATGATCAAACTTTTGACTGGACTATAACCCGAGGTGCAGAAGCACATAACAGGCAGTAAACAGGAACCCCTCCCTGTTTCTTTATGAGTCCTGCAGCTATCACATGAGGGTTTCTGAAACAGATATGATGACCTCCTCGTACGTTTCAGTAACCATCCTGAAAGATAACCTTTAAATTACTCTCATCTTAAAATTGTGACTGGAGATGTACTGGTTCATTTCCTGAATGAACTTTTAGACAGTGACGACTGATCTCCTGCAGTGTGAACGTAAAAACACTAAATGAAGACACTGATGTGATGATGGATCATTACTGGATGTTGGCTGCTGTGTGACTAATCTCTCCTGTGTCCCCGTCTCTAAGGAACCAGAAGAGCGGATGCACAGTGTGAGCTTTGTCAGTCTGGCTTCTTTTCAGAGCATGGTGTGAATTGCAACGACTGGACAACGTAAGGCTTTGTTTGTTGTGGCATTACTCAAACAAGTAGGGCTCTTCCTGCCCTGCAACATCCAATACAATCCATTTTATTTCTATAGCACATTTAAAAACAACAGAGTTGAACAAAGTGCTGTACATCAACAACTGTATAAAAACATAGCATAAATACATGAAAAACAGACAGGACATGAAACAAATGTAAAACACGAGACAATGAAACCAGATCAGAAGGCACAGACTGAGAAACTCTCCTACATGACGTAAAAACAATACAAAACACTAGTAAGATAAAAACCCAAATGTAAAAGCACAAGTTTCACCTGGTCTGTAAATGCAAGGGAAAATAAATGGGTTTTTGAACGAGATTTAAAAACAGGCAGAGTTGGAGCAAGTCTAACCCGGAGGGGCAATTCGTTCCATACTTTTGGAGCTGCAACAGCAAAGGCTCTGTCTCCTCGCTGCTCTAACCTTGATTTAGGGACGACCAGAAGTAATCTGTCAGCAGACCTCAGTGACCGTGTGGGTGGGTATGGTTTTAAGAGATCTGCCATGAAATGACCACTTTGTTTCTGCAATAATTGGATTGCTGAAAAGAAGTTGTGATCTGTGGCTTTATTTGAATGTGTGATGAGCCAATCCTCCAGTTTCCTTTAATTTAGTAACAAAACATAAATATCCTTCAATAGACTTTTGGGAAATCATTTGTTTTAATATTGATTGTTTTTGATGGGGGTATCATTACCTTTTTTGTAATAAAAAGTGATACAAAGTTTCATGTAAAACACACAAAGTACTGAAGCTACTTTTCATTTCTCTTTTCTGTCAGGTGCTCAGAAACCCAGGTAAAGCTGAAGGAAGGAACCGAGAGCAGCGATGTTGTCTGTGGAGTTTCTTCAAGAAATCATTACATTGTCGTAGTAACAGCATTATTGTTTGAAATGACAATTGTTGCGCTTTTGATTAGAGGTTAGTGCTTGTTTTCCAACCTCCATACTCATTTCGAACATCATTCCCTACCATTTGATTTTCCAGTTACTTCAGGTGAATGGATATTAACTCTAAACTTTCCTTTTTTTCAACTGACCCTTTCCACAGTATCTCTTGCAGGGGCCAAATGGCAGTGACTTCAACATGGCGGTTTTGGCTAACCAACTGGAACAACACCGGAATGCTATCTCTGCAGACTTCAAGGCTACTTTATCTACGCTCGAAGCCAAGCTAGACTGCATTCAAACCACAGTCTCCGATCATACCCACTCAATTAATTTGCTTGAATCCAACGCTAACGAACAAGATGGACGCATACCAAGTTTGGAATCGATGTGTGCTAAGCTAGCTGAGAATAATACCAAGCTACAAGCTAAATTGACGGACCTCGAGTCTCGCAGCCGCCGTAACAATATCAGGATCATTGGTCTACCTGAGTCCATCGAAGGGCCTCACCCCTCCACCTTCTTTTCTGAACTTCTGGCTGAGGTCCTTGGTGACGGCGTTTTTGAGTCTCCACCGGAGTGCGACAGAGCGCACCGTACACTCTCCAACAAGCCAGGACCGGGTCAGAGACCGAGACCCGTGGTCGTCAGACTCCTCAGATTCCAGCAGAAAGATAAGATCATCCGTGAGGCCAAAGCTAAGAGAGGCAAACTGCGGTACCGTGGGACCCCCATTGCAATCTACGAGGATTATCCTTCTGAGATAGTGGAGCAGCGCAGGGAATACCAAGAGGTGATGTCTGAACTTTACCAACTGGGCTTCAAGCCCGCACTACTTTTCCCTGCGAGGCTTAACATCACACTGAAGGATGGGGTCAGGAAGAGACTTTCCTCCGTTTTTGTATTGGAAAACCCCTACAAAACAGAGGCTCTCCCACTGGATTGTGGGAGCCATTGCTCTTCCCTATACGAGTCGGCCTACTGGCGCCTGCAAGCTGCTTTTACTCTTGGCCTGGCTATTTCCATCCTTATACTGAGATAAGCTTGCCTGCCAATATGGGAGTTTCAATATCTCATAGTGCGACAATAAAACCACTGCTTTGAATGAGAACTTTTGGTTACTTGCAACCAGGGTTCTCAAAGCAGCACAAATGAGATGTCTCACCAGACAGCACTTCTTGCCTGCAGAAAGCAAGAAGAGGTGATGAATTTTGAATGAATGAATTTTGAATGATGCTGCCTTGGACAGCCAGCTTTTTAAGGAATGGTGGATTACTTGAATCGCTAGAAAATCAAGAATGGCGTGAGGAGATGCTTCTGAGGAATACTCAGGGAGCACATCCCATGGTGAGACGTCTTACTAATGCTAATGTTAGAACCAGAGATACACAAGCTACCTACAGTTTTACAGCTCACACTCAGCAAACATTTGATTTTGTTCTGATGCTTCTCGTATTCATGCACATACACACAGAGAGGGAGAATTAAACCAAACTTCTCTTTTTTTATAAATGCTTTTTGTAATAGACATGCTGTTTTATTTGATGTTGTACAAAGTGTCAACAGCTAACCTCTACTTAACAGCAATTGTGAACTCGTTCCATTTTTACTAGCTTTTGTTATGGTGTTTTTGTGACGTGAATGTAAATGAAGGGGTCATATTAAAATGTTTTTTCATTTATAATCATTCCTTCTGATTGACTAACCCATCTGAATCTCAAAAGTGTGCCAAATTGATCGAACATACTATGTGTTTCACAGTCAGGATTCCGGCTAAAAGCCCTTAGAGACGTTGAAAATAAAATATATGATTTTGAAATGTGCTTTTAGGTATAACAAGAACTTGTTTTTTGATGCCAATGTTTTTGTTCTTACTTAAGTACATTTCTTAGTGCAGGACTTTTACTTATCATAGTATTTTCAAAGTTTTGTATGGCAAATGTTACTAAACTAAAACATTTGAGAAATGTTGTCATCCCTGGATCCTGATCCCATATAATATTTCTCAATAATCAGTGTTGTGTTTGACATGTGAGTTCTTGTTTCTAAACGTGTTACATAATAAAAACATTCCGTATTTTGTATAAATGCTTTTTGTAATAGACATGCTGTTGTATTTCATGTTGTACAAAGTGTTAACAGCTACCCTCTACTTAACAGCAATTGTGAACTCGTTCAATTTTTACTAGCTTTTGTTATGGTGTGATTGTAACTTGAATGTTGAAAATGAAGTTCTACTAATTCATATAATAATGTTTTTTCATAATATGAACATCATTCCTTCTGATTGACTAACCCATCTGAATCTCAAAAGTGTGCCAAATTGATTGAACATACTGTATTTTCACAGTCAGGATTCCGGCCCTTTTGAAAATAAAGTTGGCTGCAGTCAGTCCTGACAGAGGTCTATCTGTGGTTTGTTCTCCACAATAAAATAATAGATTGAAGTGGTCTCAATTTGTCCAACACAATTTGTTTTACTAATATCTATTCTCTCAATATAATTTTGTCTCACAATAACATTAATGACGATGCTAATGAGTGATGTTGACAAGGTTTCGCACTGATAGCTCAGCCTCTGACTGTTATGGATCCCTGTCCTTACGACGTCCCTGTCCTTCACATTCTGACAGTCGGATTGAAGGATTTACATCATCCCTAAGATTAGATCTTTAGGGTCCCTCTGAGAATCCCCACACCATGTTCTTTTTTTTACTAACTATTGGCAAAGAGAACGGTCATGGTAGTATCAACCAGGACCAATAACTCAACATACTCATACATTCAAGATTCAAGGCTTTATTGTCATTTGCACAGTAGCTACAGTGTCGATATGGCAATGAAAAACTGAAGTCACAGGCTCCTCCAATAATGCAACATTAATATATATAGGACATAAAACTAATTAAACCAATAACAATAGTGAAAGAAATAACAATATAAATAAAATAGTGCAAGAGAATGTTTTGAGATGTGCAAGTAAATACAAATAAAATAAAAATATGCAAGAAGAGTCTATATAAACGTAAATGGAATATGATATATAGATAAATAAATTGCAAGATGCATCAGATGAATGTTAATGGAGGCATTTACATTTAGACACATTTTAACCTATCCTTTAAGCAAGGGGTGTCAAACTAAATTTAATCGCGGGCCACATCAGTTGTAAACTTTATTTTTCAGTTTTTCACAAATACAGTATGTCCAACATTTATGACAACAAGTTGCAAACGAACACATTTCCACATAGGTCACTTGGATTTGAGGGTTCGAGGCGCTTTGGTTCCGCCCTAACATGTAACATGCACACCGATGCACACCCGTACCCGGACTGATTAAGAGGAAACACCTGAGGGCGGGATGTTGTTGACATGGTAGGAAACATTAAAACACGTTATACGCTATTTTTTAATACTAAGACGTTTTTAAAGTGTAAGAAAACGTTGTAAAACAAGCAATACGTTAATGTAATAGGTTAAGAGCTTGATTGTTTGTGAGAAAACGAGCAGAAAGCTCAATTACAAACCGATTTAAACAGTAAAACAATAACAATATCCCAAAGAGGAAAAAACTGCATCAAAGAAATAGATTATACATTTAACAACACACTTATTTGACTATTTGTAGACATTTTAAGAGAAAAATAATAAAGAACAACATATATTACTGCAGTTTCCTTTCTGAAGTGTGTTGTATTAGAAACAAGAGGAATTATGTTACAAAGAAAGAGGTTTAGACATTAATAACACAATAATTAACTTTGTCTGTACATTTAAAGAGTTAAATGCTTTTATCATTACCATCGGACATGAACGGGAACCTTCTATCGCGTCTCCAAATCTTCACGGACATTTGATCACGCTGGACCCAAACCGGAAGTGCGTCCCTGCTTTGACCTGCACAGTGTCTTCAGTTTTCATCACTAAAATGTTGTTTTAGCCGCTAAAAGGAGACATGTTTACCCTAAAAGCACTGCAGAAAAACAAAACAATCAAATATGGAGTCCCCATGCTGGTGAGTAGCTTTTATTTGACGTTTTAATGTATTTAAATCACATTTGATCAGCGTGTAAGCTAACTGTTAGCATTCTGTCAGTTTACTGTTATTTGTATTTACTTTGTTATTTAAGTCCAATTATCTCACTTCATCTCTCTGTTTTTCTGAGGTTTAACACTAGCTAGTAATGTTTTTGTCTGGCGAAATAGGAAGGGTTTATTTTAAGCTTGTTATGTGTAAGTTATTGGGCTTTTTTTAATCAACTAAGTTCAGTTAGAACATGTTTTCAACTTCAATTGACTGCATTTATTTACATGAATACTGCGTCGTATAGCCTTACATATGTTGTCTGTGATTAAGTCAAATTATGTCCTTTATCTTACTGTTTATCCGAGTTTAACGTGAGTTGGTAATGTTTTTCTTCCTCACCTCCCCATACCTAGTGTATAGTTTTAAACACAATATAATATTGTTTAATTTAAGTATTGAGTATGTGCTGAAGGGCAGAGGTGTAAAGTAACTAAGGACACTTACAAAATGAGTGTACTCTTAGGTATTTGTACTTTACCAGATTTTTTTCATTTTATACTACTTACTACATACAAATGTGGTATTCATCCCACTACATTTATTTTACAGATGTATTTACTTGTAACTTTATAACTTCAGATGTTGACACACAATATTTAACAAACCGTAATATGATTCTTGGTAAAGATTAAACCATCCAACATTACATTTAAAGGGGACCTATCATGCAAAATGCACTTTTTTATGTCTTTTATACATAAATATGTGTCCCCGGTGTGTCGGGGAACTCACGCAGCGTCAGAAAATAAAACCCTCTCTCTTTTCCTCCGTACCCACATCTCTAAAAACGGGGCTACAACGGAGCTGATAAAAAGGAAATAAAAAGGAACTCACCTTGTGGTATAACCGGCAAGAGAGAAAGTCTTTGAGCTCCATACTGTTTCAGAAATAATCCTTGATGATCCATGATATGGCGTTTCATCACGGCAGTATTTAGTTTAGACAGTAGCTGCCGGGTCCCGCATGAGCTCAGCCCCCTCCTTTTTTATATTTTTTAAAGCTTTATACCCGAAATCAGCACTTTTGAAACAGGAAGTGAAATAGAGGGATATGAGGCATGGCTAGAATGGGTGATCTGTTTGGTATTTTGAGCAAAACACTTCATAGACATGTTTTTTTTATATATTTTTATATATCTGAGACCTATGCTATTGCCTAAAAATAGCATGATAGGTGAGCTTTAAGTAACTAAAACCATGAGTGGGTTATTTTGATAAGACGTTTTTTGTGAAGATTTGCTGCTTTTGCTTTAAAATATATTTTAATATTTTTCGAGTTTTTTTCTGCAATGAGTACTTTAAGAACATGTTTTCATAACCGTACTTAAATACGTTTGACTTGAAACTGAGTATTTTGACAGTGTGGTATTAATACTGTTACTCAATTCAAGAATCTGAATACTATTTCCACCTCTGCTAAAGGGTATTACATGTACGTCCTTGCAGAATGCATTACTATATTAAAGTTCTATCACATGTAGAAGTTATTTGAACCTGAATTATATGTGATGAAGCCAGCGCTGTGCATTGTCCCGACATCAGTGACTAAAGTTTTTCGGATTACTTTTATTGACATTATTGTTTTTTTTCAGCTGCTCGTAGTCGGAGGTTCCTTTGGCCTGCGAGAGTTCACACAAATCAGATATGACTCCCAGAGGATCAGGAAAAAGGTTAGTAGTGAATTCACTCTGACATTAAACACACATTTCACCGTACCTTGAAGAAAAGGGTTCTCATGGTCAATGTGACAGCGGATAAAGTATTCACCTTTGCACCAGGGCTTGACAATATATCAATGATACATAAATATCATGATTTGAGACTAGATATTATCCTATATTTTACTATTTACATGCACACAAACCTAGAGCACACTACAGGAGAGGGAAAACCCCCCAAAAGCAGAATAGGGCCTCTTTAGCAGTGCTACCTAATTATTTAGATGTATACTGTTATTTTAATCACTTAAATCAGCATTCAGCCAGTGTGCAATGGCGCCTCCCTGTGGATAGAAATGTGCAGTGGCGTTTTTATATGTACGAAAGTGGTGGGGCACGAACAACTCGAATGTGTATATATAAGCTTCTGGTGCTTTTTTAAACACGTAAACAAATAGCTGTAGGCTATCCATGGTCCCGATAGAGAGAGGGGGGTATAAGGAAAACACAAGACACTCATCACCCAGGTCACAATATCAATCGATCCAGCAGAGCAATAGCCTATAGGCAAAACACAGGAGATCAACAAAAGATATGACATAAAAAGAACTCACCAAAGCTGCAGTAGATGGTCAACTTCATTCATTTTCTTTCCGTTTTACTGATTTTAATCGCTATACGCTGCTCTCTCTCGTCTCCTCTTCACAACTACACTTACAGCCAATCAGCTCTCTGAATTATGAGATGACGTTTTGGTAGGTATGTCAGCTCAGTGCCCCTATGGTGATTATTGTTTTGCCGCACACATTGAATAGAAAAATACTCTGAGCATGCGCAGTGTAGTTTTTACAGTACACGTTCATTTTAACAGCAGAGAGAGGGGCTTGCCCCACAACCCATCAACAGCTCAATAGGCACACTGTGGACACTAATTAGAAGAACGCAGACTAAAACAGCAATGTACAGGCGAATCAGACGACTAAACATGATCTTAAAATATATATTTAACATGTTTTTTTTTTGCATATTTTGGGAATTATTATTTGCATTACTTTCTGCTGACACTAGGTGGGGCTGTCGCCACTGGAAATGTGGTTGTCTCCAAGGATCCAGATTTTATGAGAGCACAGTGTAAAAATAGTGCACAATACTCAAGTAGATTACACATGAGTACAGTATTAAAGTACCAATAGATGACCAAGTACAGTAATTGATCAAATGTACCTGCACCACGGCCTGCTTTTTACAGACTAGTACGTATTAATTAAGACAAAAACAAATAAAAAAGTGACCCTTATTCCTTCTTGGATTTCTATTCACACAAACGATGCCTCTTTCTGGAAGAGAGATGATGAATTTATGAGGATTATTGTCAGAAAATGAATTCGTAATCCTTTCTGCTTTTCTTCTGGCTGCATCGCAAAATAGCTTCTCGCTGAACACACACACACACACACGCACACATAGACACACACACACACACTCACTCTCTCACAGTGCAGTGTGACACATTTCTGCTTATTTATGATCAGCATTAGATAAATGGTCTCCATCACTTCAGACACTGCAGCTCTGACAGGATGTTTAGTGATTCAACAAGATCTGATAATTCATTAGGAGACGCAGTTCATCAGAGTGACAGAGGAGAGGCTCTGTATTACCCTGTGATGATCTGACAGGAGGGAGGGGGTGGGGGGGGGGGGGAGTCTGTTTCCTGCTTTTCTATTCGCTGGCATGCCAATGTGTCAGTATACTCTTAATATAAAGGTCAACTTGTGTTACTCACCCTCCTGATTTCCATTTCAAAATGTGTTTCAAAGCATGGTTGACCTTAGCTAGTGTTGTTTCTGTTCCTCATCTTACCATACCTAGCTTAGAGTATTAGAAGTACACATGATACTGTTTGATTTAATGAGAGTATGTGCTAAGGGTCAAGTGCTAAGTCCATACCATCTCAACATAACCTCCAGGTTCATGCAGTGGATGTACTTAGGGGAAAAAACCCACTCATTAAATGCACGGTCTTGAAATGAAATGCTATACCAAGCCTAAAACTAAGCCGCAATCAAACCCTACAGTCTAGTTGCCAGCATAGTAAACCTGGAACTGTTTGGGGGTTATTGAGGATGCCGAGTCCATTTCCGACATTTTCAGGGTAATAAATGGCCGTTTTAACCTGAAACTGGCGATATTTGTAGTCCCGTTGCGACTATTGGATATAGAGAGCACAAGATGATGATTGTTATCTCTACTGTGGACAATTTATTTTCAACAAAATAAGCAATCTGTCTAATCCTAATGATCCAGAGTCCCCTAAATCTTCCAAATAGACCAAAAATGTATCAAAATCAGCCCCTATGGACAACAAATATGGCCTCTTTCTGGTTATAACTGCCATTTTTTTATTACTGTCCATGTGCAGCTACCCCCCCCCCCCCCCCTCGAGTTAACATTGCTCATGTAATTTAATGCATGGAATATCTCAACAGTCGTCATGATTGAAACCACTCGTGCGGTTTCATTCTTGTTATGAGCCAATTCCTTTTTTCCAGCCCTCACGGATGTATTTCTCTGTTAAATGGTGAAATGATTAAAGCCCTGTCTGAGGGTTAAGTCACTGTATGATCCAATTAGCTGTTTCTCTTCAGATCTGTAAGTTAGCCTCTAGCAGGAAGAGCTTCTGTCTTCCACGTCCAGGTTTCCTCTTCACCTCTGACCCCCCCGTCTCTGTTTTAAGGTTCATTAAAGTAAAGCTTATAACGCGTCCATAGGAATCATTTTAGTCCCTTTCCCCTGGAATGAAAGCTGCAAAAAAAGATAATAATTCAAGATATATATTAAAAAAATAACAAATATAATAGTACATTTGAATTAAAACACTTACACATCTTTTAAATATAATGATTCGAACACATTTATATAGATATTTTCTAAGTACTCAGACACTTTACAAAAAAAATCATTCAGAAGGATGCAAACATATAATAATTATATTATTAACTGTCAGGGAATAATTTCCCCTGCATGTCATCTTTCGCCCTCTGACGCAGATGCCCAGCCTTGGTCAGCATGTTATCTCCCTTAAAGTGGACCTATCATGCTATATTATAATAATATAGTGTAGGACCATACCTATATAAGGCATATTTATACTTTTTTTTTTTCAAAATACCAAACAGATCATGCATTTTAGCCATGCCTCATTTCGCTCAATTTGCGCTTTTTTAGCCCTGTTTTTGCAAGGGCTGATTCAGTGAGAACAGCACCACCTACAGGCCTGGCATATGTACTACAGCGTCTCCAGCGCTTTCGAACGGCAATGGCCGTGGCTGTCTCCTCCTGATTGGTGGAGTTGGCCCAATAGAGTGGCGAAGTCCCTCCCCTTCCGGTGGAGCTCCATGGGACCTTATTTCGGAAAAATTATGTATTGAAGTCAATGGAGAGAGAAAGATTATCTTTCGATCCCGTTTGAATTGTGCCATGAATTACACATATGATGTTTGTCAATTTAAAAGATAATTTTGCAAGTCAAAAAAAAAAAAATGTGTCGTAAAACTGTGAAGTAACACATTTGTTTGTGTGAAACGCTCAAAGAACTACATCTGATCTCTGGTCAACAACACACGTCACCAAGATGGCCGTCACTACTGTCTTGTCAACACAAGAGACTACCCTCACTATCACCACAATGAAACACGTCCTGAAGAATGTCATGCAAAGCTGCCTGCCTTCCTTCCTTTGATTCTCTCTGAACTGCCTGGTCGTTTTAATGTTTAATGTCAACCATTTGTGCAGATAGCATGAAGTAGAGAAGATCGCTAGCGTTAGCGTTAGCATTTCTCCCCCGGGCTTAAATTGTGTATTATAGAATGATCACACCGGTGACAGTACTATTCAAAGGGTTCACGAAATATGACTACTACTCTTACTGTTTAACATATTGGGTTACTTAATGTTACTTCATGTTAAGGCTAATAAAAATGACAAGGCTGTAATGCTAACTAACGTGCTAGCTACTAGCTAGGTAGCTAACTTGATCCACACACTCCTCTTTCATCAGACGGGAAGCAAAAGAACGAGCAAGACCCATTGCTGGTATAATAACAACCTGGTACTAAGCACACAGGCATCTTGTGAAAGTTATCTTATCTTAGCCAGCGCCATATAGATAGATTCTATCTATATGGCGCTGATCGTATATATACGGTATTATACGTGTATCGTAGTGTCTCAATTGTGACATCACTTACGCGACTCTGGGATTTGTAGTCTTTCTAGTTTCGTATTTTTCAAAGTCTTATATTTCAACAGTTTTAAGACAAACTGTGACTTTTTTGACATGGAAATGATTTTTTAAGATTGACAAACATCATATGTGTAATTCATGGCACAATTCAAACGGGATCGAAAGATAAGTTTTCTCTCCCCATTGACTTCAATGCATAATTTTTCCGAAATAAGGTCCCATACCCCGGAAGTAAGTGGGAGGGACTTCGCCACTCTATAGCCGTAGCGCCACCGTCCTGACGTCAGGACAGTGTTCAAATCTGGATCAGTTTTTATCAGATCCGTTGCAGCCCCTTTTTTAGAGATTTGGGTATGGAGGAAAATAGAGAGTGTTTTCTGACACTTGGTGAGTTCCCTGGAACACCGGGGACACATATTCATGTATAAAAGACGTACAAAAGTGCATTTTGCATGATAGGTCCCCTTTAAAGGAGGGGCTGTCCTAGCATATTGATGATGTTACCAGTTTGTGACCGGGCAACTGTCGGTCAGAGATAGTTATTGTTGTGGGACACCTGGAACACATCCTTCTCGGGGTGTAGATGACCTCGAGCCATAAGCGACAACAAATATGATTCAGTGTCCTCAGCTGTTTAGTCTATCTATTGAAGAATGTTGATTATTACACTCTGAACTAGTTAAAACCTCGAGCTACAGGAGGGGTCTTCAGAATTGATTGTGGCGTCTCAACCGTGTGGTCAGACCGTGACATGTCTTGTGAATTCTCCGGCCGAAGCTCCAAATAAACCGTCGGTGTTTGCCATCAAAGCTCCATCTCTCCTTGTGTCTCTCTGAGTCCTGACTCCCATTGCTTCAGAAGTTTCCCCCACATTAACAATAATAAACATTTAAATAATAATAATGATGATGATAGTAGTAGTAATAATAAAAAATAAATAATAATAATCATAAAAATGTTTTAAATAAGGATGAAAATAAAACGTACAAAATACTAATATTAAAAAGAAATCTATAATACGTAGAAAATACCACATAATAAATAGAAAAAACATAAACCTTAAATTTGGCTGCTACAATTAATTCAAATAATTCATTCAAAAATGCTCGACATATTTGTGTAGCACTTTCCTAAGTACTCAAAGACACTTTCAAAAACATTTCATGCGAGCAAATAGAGAAAGGAATAAAGAACAGAAAGCAGTAATAAATATTCTGTCTATTATTTACTTGCTGTAGTAAAGTAGGTCTAATTTAAAAATCAATCGTGGCATTATGAAGCATTATGTAACTGCGGCTCTGTTGCTGTGAAATATTAGAGCTCATTAAACGTCATGATTCAGAATGGGATTCATTTCACTCGTGTTCCCGGGGAAAATCAATTTGAATTGCAAAAACCCAGAGAGCCCCAACATCAGTTCTGCTTTTCTCACTGAACCTGGTCCTGCTGCTGCCGGATCAAGTGGAACAATTACGAGCGGGAACACGGGCTCAATTAGACCCTCCCTTTGGACGGTTTGGGTTTATCTCTTCCACATGAGAGTCTGACTTCAATATGACTTCTGGCTCTTTAAAGTAGAGACACTACATACTGATATACACCTGAACATCAGCAGGAGAAGACTCTTTAAAGTAGAGACACTACATACTGATATACACCTGAACATCAGCAGGAGAAGACTCTTTAAAGTAGAGACACTACATACTGATATACACCTGAACATCAGCAGGAAGAAGACTCTTTAAAGTAGAGACACTACATACTGATATACACCTGAACATCAGCAGGAGAAGGAAGACTCTTTAAAGTAGAGACACTACATACTGATATACACTGAACATCAGCAGGAGAGGACTCTTTAAAGTAGAGACACTACATACTGATATACACCTGAACATCAGCAGGAGAGGACTCTTTAAAGTAGAGACACTACATACTGATATACACCTGAACATCAGCAGGAGAGGACTCTTTAAAGTAGAGACACTACATACTGATATACACCTGAACATCAGCAGGAGATGACTCTTTAAAGTAGAGACACTACATACTGATATACACCTGAACATCAGCAGGAGAGGACTCTTTAAAGTAGAGACACTACATACTGATATACACCTGAACATCAGCAGGAGAGGACTCTTTAAAGTAGAGACAGTACATACTGATATACACCTGAACATCAGCAGGAGAGGACTCTTTAAAGTAGAGACACTACATACTGATATACACCTGAACATCAGCAGGAGAGGACTCTTTAAAGTAGAGACACTACATACTGATATACACCTGAACATCAGCAGGAGAGGACTCTTTAAAGTAGAGACACTACATACTAATGAGCAGTATATGTCCCTGTTAACTAAATAAACCCTGGTGCTGGGATGCCTGTGGCGCAGAGCACTAGTGCGTTGGTGTTCTGATCAGGGGATCACAGGTTCAAACCCCACTGCAGTCAGCATGTCGTTGTGTCCCTGAGACACTTCACCCCAAGTTGCTCCTGTGGGGATTGCCCACAGTATTGAGTATGTAAGTCGCTTTGGATAAAAGTGTCTAACAAGTGACATGTAATGCCTCTCTGTGCAGCTGTACCTCCGTCTCGTGCCAGTTGAGTTGTGTTTGAAGTGTGTGACCGCAGACATGTAGCACTGGTTCTGATTGATTTTAAAATGTGTGACTTTCTCAGTACGGTAACATTTCTCCTCCTCTTCCTCTCAGCTGGATCCGTCTCTGGAGGCCAAAGTGAACGTGGAGCGGCAGCCGGTCATCCTGGAGGAGGAGTACGAGGTGAGGCACCCTGAGGGGGGGGTAAATAAAATAAAGTGACTGCTGTGGTCTGTCTGCAGGAAAGAGGAACTGCTGAACAATATAGGGCAACAATGCATGATGTAACAACACTGCATTATGATGTAAAAACTCAACACAATGTTATGCAATTTGACTTTATTATGTAATCAATTCACATTCTTTATTATTGCATATTGTGATAATTCATCAATTGCAACATGTTCTAGTTTACGCAGCATTTTGTAATTTATTACATAATGCTGGGTGTATTTTGAAATGTGCAGAATAGTTGGTACCTGTGTTCTTAAAATGTCAGATTTTAATAGGCGCTTTCACACCAAGTACTTTTCCCAGGAATAGTTCCCGGAACTTTTATTTCCTGGAACTATCTAGTAAATTGCGGAATAAGTCCCTGAGGGAAGATTAGGCAAATGAAGCCGCTGACGTCACTTCTTCTTCTTCTGCTTTGGGTTTACTGGCAGGCCGCAAACCACTTCACGGCGTATACTGCCACCCGAAGTCCCCGGCCGGAAGTCCCCGGAGTTGGGGACTGGCTTCAGTCGAAGCTGCTGGGACTCCCAGCAGCTTCGACTGAAGCCTTCCGAGTAAATCGCCAGAAGCGCTGACACCTCCTCATCTCCACCGCTCCCATGTTTTCTGTGTTGCCATAAGTAGTCTCTCTCCGTTGGTGCGCTGGGCTAATGCTAATAATGCTAATGCGAGCAAATAAAATGGCGGTTTCACAAAAACTTTTCAGAGTTTTACGGGGCGTGGTTTGCAATTCGCCCAGCAATCAGAAATTGGAACCTTTTCTCCCATGAAAGTACCACCTCTCTAGCAGGGACTACAAAGAGGTGAAAAGGTTTGCAAAAACAAGTTCTAGTTCCAGATCTTTTTGGTGTGAACGCAAAATCCCAGGAACTATCGGAACTATTCCTGGGAAAAGTACTCCGGTGTGAAAAGCGCCTCTTGTCATTGTAAATCTGAAATTATAATTAATTGGCACATAATTATCAGGTCAAATTTAACAGAAAATGGGACAGAATTAAGTCAAAGATGCACTTTAGACTGAAGAGAGTCTAAAGAGGTTGGAGTACCAGACTGTAAATGTGAAAAATCCAAATCCAAAGTTGTAAATTATGGAATACGCATTAAGAATTGCATTAAAAAAAAACTATCAGGACTCAAATGTGTCTAAGTTTGCATTAGTTTCTCTTTCACATAAGAAGAAATTAAAAACCTTGAATTTAAATCTTTGTGAAAAATGCATAAGAAACGTTTTTAAAGCAGTTTAGAAAATCGTCTATTGTCACCAACATTTGTAACTCTCTCAAACCCTAAATCTGTTCTGAAAGACCGGCAGTTTTATTTCCTGCCTCCTCTCACCTGCGTCACACACACCAGATGTTCACAACTTTCTGGACATTTCAAAGACCATGAAGTATTATATTTGGTGTTGTGCAGGAAACACAAGCTCATATTTTCAGACTTTGATTTGTTGGCATCCTGAAGTGTAAACCTCGCCTCCTGAAGTTGTTGTTTGTCCTCTCTGCAGAAGATAAAGAAGTTGAAAATGGACGAGTGGAGGAACATCCGGGGCCCTCGTCCCTGGGAGGACTCGAGGGAATACCAGGAGCAGCAGAGGAGCCGACCGGACGAAAAACCCTGAGGATAAGAGAGGGACTCCACTTGTAATTTGCTTGTAACGGATTGCAGTTTCTCCTGGACGTTCAAATGACGCCACATGAGCCCAAAACCTTGAAATAAGTTCAGGGTTAGTCTTAGATTTAAAAAGTGGTGCAGGAATGAGTCCTAAGATCTGGATATTAGTCAGCATTTTAACACGTCCTGTCCCCTAGTCTTGAAGTCAATGGTTTTCTGGCTGTGTTTTTGATTGTGAGCCTGAAATAATGTCTGTGGTTAACACAAGCTGAAGAGATTTGAATTCTGCGACATTAAATACGTCAGTAAATACCCCACTGTAATACAATAATCCAAAATCACATGGTGAAATCCCATTGGACCAGGGAGATGCTGCCTTCAGGGTCCCACACAGAAATACGCCACACCTGCATCACTGTATAGAAACAACCACAAGGAGTCACATCTGCTGCCGCACTTTCCACACTGATGGCAAAATAAATATACTTATATGATTTCTATGTCTGAATAAATTATATTATATTGATCCTTCTTGTTTCTTTCAGTTTGTGAGTAAAGCTCTGGATGTGAGTGTGTGTTTACAGCAGTGTTGCATTGATTTAAGGTATATCAGAATAAATAACATGCAGCATCTCCTCAGGCGTCTAATCTGTTTCTCTGACAGTTATTACTTTGCAATGCGCCAGATTTATAATGGAAATAGAATTACCTATTTGCTTCTTTTTTTTTTGAGAACATGATTTCCCTCAGATTGTGTGTATCAGGAGTGTGTGAGTGACGGGAAATGCATGCACTGCCTTCAGCTTGTGCAGCACGAGGTAATGAAGGTCTCGATGGAAATGTCCCGGGAATCATTTTCTGTAAGCTCGTGATTTTGGAGTCACTTTAATACCCGGGAACAGGATTATATTTTCATGCACAGGTTGAACAGATCTCAATCTTCAAGGCTGTAATCCTGCAAACAGATTGATCAAACCATGTGTCACTGATCACATCTTTCTCGAAAGGATGTTTGTTAAAGAAAACGGTTTGTAATAACGTCTCTCTGAATGTGTCACATGTTTTGTTATCTTTGAGGCCACCTCAGGCTCTTTGGTATTACACAGCGAGGTCACTGCTGTTTGGAGGTCATTGTTAGCAAAATAAGAGAAGGCCATTTTGAGTTTGACGACACTCGAAGAGACAATACAGTTTATTTTGGAGGTTGTGGCTTCAACTGTAAGCTTAAAGAGTAGTGCTCCAACACATTGTACGTGATGGGCTAAGGTGCTGTACACTCTAAGCGGTTGACCAATCACAACAGAGCCGGCCAGCTAACCAATCAGAGCAGACTGGGCTCTGGTTTCAGACAGAGGGTGAAAAGAGGTGCTGCAGCACAGGCAGTATGAGAAAAATAAAGAGCTTTTTGAACATTAAAGCATGGAGACATGTCCCAGTAGAGACACTACATACTGATATACACCTGAACATCAGCAGGAGAGGACTCTTTAAAGTAGAGACACTACATACTGATATACACCTGCACATCAGCAGGAGAGGACTCTTTAAAGTAGAGACACTACATACTGATATACACCTGAACATCAGCAGGAGAGGACTCTTTAAAGTAGAGACACTACATACTGATATACACCTGAACATCAGCAGGAGAGGACTCTTTAAAGTAGAGACGCTACATACTGATATACACCTGAACATCAGCAGGAGAGGACTCTTTAAAGTAGAGACACTACATACTGATATACACCTGAACATCAGCAGGAGAGGACTCTTTAAAGAGTCCTCTAACAATGCACATAAATAACCCTACATACCCAAATACAAATGCAAAATAGAAGCAGCTCAAGACACGGCCGCTATCTTGAGAGGAAACCCTGAATACTACGCTTCCCTTCAGGAATATAATCCTCTAAATACTATAATACTGATAATATTAGAGTAGCCTAATCTTTATCTGCAGCTGTGCACAAATGCTGCCTTAAAACCCAATGATTATACATGCAACAAAAACGAAGACGGCAGCATTCAAATGTTTATTTGTCATCGTTATAAAAGAAGCCTCAAAATAAGTATGATTCATGCCAGTGTTTCATATCCTGCAGAGGGTTGTGTACAATCTGTGTATTTGGCTGCTGTTATGACTATTTATTGCACTTATTTAGTCATTGTTTACGTTCTTTATATCCTATAAAAACGCATCATATAGTGTGTATCGCTGTGTTGCTGGAGATGAAGCATGTGAAGCAGAAGATATGTGTCAGCTTGCTGTGCTTAGTTTATGGAGATGTAGCTCGGGTGTATTCGTCAGGGGCCAAAATGGGTCAGCTCAGGAAGCGGAGCTGTCGTAAGCGATGAGTCCTAATTCGAGGATGTCCCGCCCCCTTTACATGCTCCTACATTTTTAATCTGTAAGTGTAAGAGAAAACTGCATCAAATATTCAAAGCTGAGTGGAAAAGTGGAAATCAAATTCAATATTTACTACTCTGTTCTGCGAGCGGGGAGAACTGATGAGGTCTTAGAAAACACGACGCGTGTAGAATCTGGGACTCTGAGAAACTAAATGCTAAAATCATGCAATGTTAATTAAAGTTACAATTAATGCATGAATGCTCCCCGTGATTTGGATCTGCTTCAAAATGTAATGAGTTCTTCCTCGGCCCGAGATTCACCCTCCACAAAGTTTCATCAAAATCAGGCGAATAGTTTTTCTGTAATCCTGCAGAGACGGACAACCAAAAAAGTAACCTGTAGGAAAGTTGAGAGGAAGATCCTTTACTTAAAGGTCTCCTATTATACTGTTTTTCATCAATATATCACAGGTCTCAGATATATACAAAACATGTCTCTGAAGTGTTTGGCTCCAAACACCAAACAGATCATTGCAGCATCCCATAATCCCCTCTGTTTCAGCCCTGTTTCAAAAGTGCTGATTCTCTGTCTGTTACTTTAGATGAAAATAAGGAGCCCCTCCCCACGCCCCTCTGAGAGAGATTTGGTTACAAAGAACACTTTGTACTTTGCCGTACTTAGTGCCGGCACTCAGTGGCCCCGGCACTTATTACCCCAGGGCACTTAGTACAGATCGCGTTCACACCGGAATAAATTCCCTGAGGGAAGATTACGCAAATGAGCCGCTGACGTCACTTCGTCTTCTTCTGCTTTGGGTTTACTGGCAGGCCGCAAACAACTTCACGGCGTTATACTGCCACCCGGAGTCCCCAGCCGGAAGTCCCCGGAGTTGGGGACTGGCTTCAGTAGAAGCTGCTGGGACTCCCAGTCCCAGCTTTACGGGGCATGGTTTGCAATTCGCCCAGCCAATCAGAACTGGGGCACTTTTTTCCCCCAGGAAAGTACCATCTCTCAGCAGGCACTAAAAATGGGGGTAAAAGTTCCCGGGATTAAGTGCTCTTTTTGGTGTGAACGCGACATAAGGGGTACTAACGGAACTAAACGCGAAAAGTACGGGGAAAAGTACTCCGGTGTAAACGCGGCTAATGGTGCTCTAGGAGGAGATTGAGGTGATAAGGTGGGGGGGGGGGGTTTACCTTGGTTGCTGATTGGCTAATGGTTACCAAGCCAAAACATCATTATGACATCATAAAGTGGCCAAAATCTGATCAGCTCATTTTCAGACAGGTTTTTATATAAATGGATCAGGACAAAAAGAGAGAGAATCTTTAAACTAAAGCTGTTCAAATAAATGTGGGATGTAAAATGTACAATATTCCAGTAATGCAACCACTACAAACATTTAATCAGAGGTGGAAGAAGTACTCCGATCTTGTACTTGAGTAAAAGTAGAAGTACTCAGATCTTGTGCTTGAGTAAAAGTAGAAGTACTCTGATCTTGTACTTGAGTAAAGTAGAAGTACCAGAGTGTAGGAATACTCTGTTACAGTAAAAGTCCTGCATTCAAAATGTTCCTCAAGTCAAAGTAGAAAAGTATTCTCATCAAAATATAGTTAAAGTAGCGACAGTAAAAGTAGTCATTGTGCAGATTGGTCCTTTTCAGAATAATATATATGATATGTTTTATAATGATTGATCATGAAAGTGTTCTCAAAGCTGGTAAAGGTGCAGCTAGTTTGAATGACTTTGTAGACTGCAGGGTAGCTTGTGAATTTACTCCAGGTGGAACTAAAGTCTGATTTAACACTTGATTATATTTCACATCATTCATCCACATCTGTAAAGTAACTAAAGGTATTAAATACATGTAGTGGAGTATAAGTACACCATTTACCTCTGAACTGTAGTGGAGGAGAAGTACACAGTAGCATAAAATGGAAATACTCAAGTAAAGTACAAGTATCTTGAACTTGAGTAAATGTACTCAGTTACTTCCCAATTTAATATATAAATACTACAATACTAATACTCTTGGTGTAGCCTGATGTTTACCTGCAGACACTCTGTCCTCACACCCAACGATTCAACATGCAGAAGAACAGAAGCTGCAGCTTTCTAATGTCATCGTTATGAAAGAAGCTCTCTCTTATTTCCTGTCTATAAATAGACGGAGACTCGGCAGCAGTGTGTGTGTGTGTGTGTGTGTGTGTGTGTGTGTGTGTGTGTGTGTGTGTGTGTGTGTGTGTGTGTGTGTGTGTGTGTGTGTGTGTGTGTGTGTGTGTGTGTGTGTGTGTGTGTGTGTGTGTGTGTGTGTGTGTGTGTGTGTGTGTGTGTGTGTGTGTGTGTGTGTGTGTGTGTGTGTGTGTGTGTGTGTGTGTGTGTGTTGGGGGGGGGGCTGTTGTACATCATTCCTCATAATGAGCCGGACTGAACACACACCACCGCCGTCACTTCCACCACATCCACACGCTGCCATGGAGACGTGGCTATAGGGCACATGTGATGGTGTGTGTGTGTGTGTGTGTGTGGGGGGTGCAAGCATCCTGCAAAAGCCAAGACGCTCGTACAAGCTGACCCCCCCCCCCCTGTATATGTCATCTTCCTCCCCCCACGTCTGATTCTTCTTCGTCTCTCTCCATAAGGGGGTGGGGGGGGGTGGGGGGAGTGAGTTTGGGTCTCCCTCTCTTACCCATCATGCACTGCAGGATCTCTTCCGCCCCACTGACCCTGTGCTCAGCTGCAGAAGAGGCTTCACTCTGTGCACTTTCTACGGAGTTCAGCACACAATCCTTTCTATCTGCATGAGCTGCAGGAATGAGTCCTAAACCTGGGAATGAGTCAGCATTGTAGCACTGCCTGCTCTGAAGTCAATGTTGTTTTAAAAAAAATGTTTTTGAAGTTGTTAGCCTGAATTTAGGTCTGTGGTTAACACAAGCTGTGTGGGAGACAAACACCCTCTGGAGGGAACACAGGGATGTTAGCCTTTGCAGACCATTGACATGCACTAACACCTGTTTCTGGATCAGTATTACAGAAATACCTGGCGTGTAGAAGCAGAAAAAAAAAATGCCACATGCCAATTATTCTGTAAGCTGGAGTTGACACAGCTTCAGTGGCGATTAAACCGGAGACACTGTGACCCTGATGGTGAGAGAAAAAGGGGGGGGGGGGGGTCAAACACGGACATCACGCCTGGGCGACGACGTCCACTTATGACACTCCGTAATGAAAAGTGAAGCTGTGAAAGGAGAAAGGTGAGCAGTCACCTCACATCAGGATGTACACTCGGAAGACTGCAGGGATACTTCCTGTCTATGGGGAGTGTGTGTTTAAGTCTGTGTGTGTGTGTGTGTGTGTGTGTGTGTGTGTGTGTGTGTGTGTGTGTGTGTGTGTGTGTGTGTGGTGTGTGTGTGGTGTGTGTGTGTGTGTGTGTGTGTGTGTGGTGTGTGTGTGTGTGTGTGTGTGTGTGTGTGTGTGTGTGTGTGTGTGTGTGTGTGTGTGTGTGTGTGTGTGTGTGTGTGTGTGTGTGTGTGTGTGTGTGTGTGTGTGGGGAGAATAACTGGAAATGGATGTTTTACTCTCAGTTTGTGGTTTTCTTCGGTCTATTTACTATGACTTTAATCCATTAATCTGCACTGAACACGTGCAGGACTTTGAAGAGAGCATTTATTTCCAATCTCTCTTTGCGCTCCGGCTGCAGGTGCACCAATCTGTCCGGAGTGATTCCCCCCCCCCCTCCCCCCCCCCTCCTTCCTGCAGAGATAAGAAAACTTCATTAAAACCCTCCAACGATATTCTCCATACTAATCACAGCATTACATGGGATGCCCATTTGGGAGATTGTTTTTGAATTTGAATTTAACAAGCGTGGAAATCTGGACAGGATAATAAGACTGCAGCACAGAGCCGGACTGTGTAATTAAAATCGGATCCAATTTATTTATTTTACCCCTGATTTGCATAAAAACTCCATCCCAAAAGAAAAATGGAGCCCATGCTGCAGAAATATGATGTTTCAAGTCTCTACATGATGTTGTTTTGTGGATAAATAATAATTCAACATTTATTAACAATTAGCTGCAATGGTCAGTCAATTAACTTTTTCCATAATTTTCACTTTTTCATAATTTATTGACTTTTTTCAGAATACTTGAAATAGATGATTTTGACTTTTATGACATTTTTTTGGGGAATTTAGACTTTTTTCAAAATTGTCACTTGTGTCAGAATTTTTTGAAATTCTTTTAAAAAAAAATCTGAATTTAGACATTTTTTTTCAGAATTCGGGCTTTTTTTCATGGTTTCTTTCCTCAAAATTGAGTCCTCAAAAATACAATATTTTACATGTGGCTTTAATCCTCTTCCGTATATTTTCAGAATTTTGTCTTTTTCCGGAATTCTGACATTTTAATATTTTTCTGAATTCTGACTTTTTATTTAATTTGGACTTTCTTCAGACTTTAGATTTTAATTTTTTTCCAGAATTTGATTTTTTCAGAAGGACAATTTCCCCCCCAGAATTTGTACTTCTTAGAATTTTTTTTTGTTGATTTGAATTAGTTAACCCATGATTTGTATTTGTCTGCTGATAGATGCAGTGCATTTATACATTGTAGTAAATAACTGACAAGAAAATGCATTTTCCCGGATTTACGTGTCTTTTATTGGCCGCTGCACGCTGCCTGCATCCCATAATGCTGCAGCTTCATTCTTCGGCTCATGGTGACGTCGTTGCGCGCCTAACCGAGTCTGGTGTGATTTAAAAACAGAAATAGGGGGCGGAGGACTGAAGGACGCAACCATTTCACACCTCCACCGAGAACAAGCCTGTTATTAATAACTCTTATTATTATTATCGGAGGAGGAGGATTTGTGGATAAAGCGGAGGAGGAGACGCGCTGCTGGTGCCCACAGAGCCGCGGACACACCGGGGAAACTTAACGCTCAGCTGTGTGGTTTATGTGAAGGGATTTCTGTGGAAACACCGGGAGCTTCACGGCAGTGCCTTCACCGGAGAGACATCACACAGAGAGGGGGAGGAGGAGCGCTGATTCACGGCTTGCAGGAGGAAGGAGAGGACCTGGAGATCCATCTCTAATCTTAAAATACCGACCCCCCCCCCCTCTCCTCCCACTCACCCATCCTCCCCCTCCCCGACACTGACAGCTCTGCGACCCGGTCAGTCAGACAGGGAGGATCTGTGGAGGGTCTGTGGAGGATCTGTGGAGGAGAACCATCACCTCTGGACGCTTTTCATCCGAGCACCGAGGGGGGAGCAGCCGCTGCATGAGGACCAGACCGCGGCTCCAGAGCACCGGGGGCTTCAGCAGCTCCGAACGGCGAGATCACACTGAGGAGAAATAATACAAATAAAGGGGGCGTTCAGGAGCTATTTCTACATAAACTCCCCGGAATAGAAACCAGGTAAATACATGATGCGAGCTCATGGTGTGAGATAATCTGTGATGCAACACCGGCAGGCTTTCTGGCTTCATGTGTGACAGGTTAGATGCATTTTGTGAGCATTAATTGGCCCCTCATCTCTGTGCAGATATGATCCATTGCATCGGGCTGCAATGGATTCGTGATACCGTCTATATAATGGGTGTGCCATTAAATAATTGGCGTGTGTCAACGCAGGAATCACACACCGGCTGTCAGAGACGCTTCTGATTGGCTAGATTTCCTGTTTTTAATATGCATATTTGGCTTTTTCTTGTGTATTTTTTTGTTGATTCTGGAGAAAGTATACTGAGTGCTTATAGGCCTGTATGCACCCTATAAGTTGTGTCTCGGGCCTATGGGTGCTCCAGCAGGGATTCCCCCCTCAGGTTGCACTGACTTCGGTATATAGTGAGCTTAAAAACAGCCTTCTGATGATTAATCAGCAACAGCTGTGTGTCTGCTGAGTCCATGTTTACGCACATCTCAGATATCCTCCTTAAACAAGAGCCTCTTCCCAAAATAGGGAAAGGGAAGGAGATCTGAGCTGTCTGTCTGCAGCAGGCTGCTGCTCACTGAGACATGCAGCACTCTGACATCAATGTGGCTTTTCTCATTAAAATCCACTATCTGAGAGGTGGAAATCAGCTAGAGTCAGAGCCTGTAATGGCTATTATTTTTTTATCAGATAATTGGTTAATCGTTTGGTTCATGACATTTCAGAAAATGGGCAAAAAATTGTCAAAAAATAAACCTAATTTCCCAAAGTAATGGGTAGATATTTTGAAATAGCTTCTTTAATCTCCAGAAGAGAAAGATATTTAGATTCATATTAAAATAAAACAAGCAACAGATTTGTTTGTTGGCAAATTCTCTTAAAAATATCATATTTTAAGTCTGGCTTTACAATACATATTTCTACATGAACACAATTAAGGGGAAATTATTTAAAGTACAGCTTTTTTGACTTTGAAATACTTATCAACAGTCCATCCCCTTTTATACATTTCTCTTCATTGGTCTGCTTCATTAGCCTAGAAGATATACAGTACATTCATACATTTAAGCATGAATATTCACATATAGATATTGATATCTTTTTGGACTTCTAGTGTAATTTTACAATTTTGACATGGCTTAAATATTCCTGTACTTCCTGATGATAGTGCTGCATGACATCCTCAACAGTCTTGCATTTAAAATATTGAGATATTAAGTTCAGTATTTTGTAAGATTTGATCAACTTTCCTTAAGAGAAAGTGGTGCAAAGTTGTGTAATGGAGAGTAAGTGATTTCAGTGTTGGATTAATTGGAATCTGTCAGAGCTGAACTTTACCCTTAATTTAGAAAAGTCAGTTTCAATATGACTCTCCAAAGTTTATTTTGTCTTTTCGGTTTATTTTTCATTCTTTTTGGTGGCAGCTGAGCAGACTTGATTAAAGTCCGGCGACAGTCCCCCTTCTACACTGCGAAATACAAGCCTTTAACGAGTAATTAGTATGCAAATTGTTTTGTGTAGCTGGTAATTAAGGGTCACGGCTCTAATGTTGGTACACAGGGACAAAAGGGAATCGTTCACTCTGCATTCGCTGACAATTCACTCTCTGCTGTGATGGGAAATCAATATCTAAAATACAAAAAACCCTCGCACACCTGAAATTCCTGTCTGAGAGATTAGATGTCATAATTTTAATCAGCTTTACCTTATTACCTAAGACTTCTATTCTGTCTCTTAAATGGTTTCCAAATCAATCAATCCATCACTTGGATGTATTTCTAGCATTTTAGCAAATTGGGCATTATTCCTCCTGGGAAAAGAGATGAACAAATGCACGATTTGTAACGACTATTTACCAGCAATGCATACCCGAAATGCACATTATGGAAATTAGGCTCCACCTTTTACTGAGCTTCTACAGGAATAAGACCCCATTTACAACTGACTTTAGCATGTGCTCTATAGGTGAGGAGAAGGAAAAACATGCTAATGCCATGTGTAACTGCGCCCAAAATGCTTTGTGGTCTGTTGCAAAGGCAGTAAATACAACATGACTTGATCCTTAAAGGAATAGCTCATCCCTAAACTGACCATTATACATTTTAAAGTCACTAAACTGCACCTCTTCCTGCTAGCTTAGGCTTTGTGGTAAAGGTAGCATAAGCTAGAAAGAGGACACTTAAAGGTGGGGTAGGTCATTTTGGAGAAACCGGCTCGAGTGCGCTAGAATTTGAAAATACACAGCCGGAAAAAATCTGCCACTTCCTTACAGAGCCCCTCCTCCAACACACACGAACGCGCACATGACCAATGAGGGCACGAGATAAGTTTGTGCACAGATGGAAGGCTGGCAGGCAGGCAGGCCATCCAGTTATTTTAGCCGGGCCGGCTCAGATGATTGGTCGTGCTTTTTACATACTACGGCTTCCACAGATAATTTGTTTTAATGTATTTATTGTCAAAGCATTTAATGTATTAATTGCTATCGGGATGTTAAGAGCGTTCCATGGAATATAACAACAAGTGTTTCTGAAGTGAATTACCTCCCCCACCTTTAATAATTCAAGGTGTAAATGCACCCAGAACACACTGTGGTTTCATACAACATGACCTCGTTGTTAGGGAAATAGTTCACCCACAAGAAGACAATTTTCATGTTAGAAGTGCACCAAGCCTAACCGCTTCCTGTTAGCTTTAGCAGTGTGGCATTCATATCTAGAAAGAGGACACTTAATAATACAAGTTGTAAAAGCACCTCATGGTACCCAAAACCCATTGTACAATAATTGCCAACAAAACATGTCTCTACAAACACACCATTGAGCGAAAAGGAGCAGGGAGAAGAAACAAATCTTATAGGACCTGCCCCTTTCTAAAAAAAACTAAATAAATAGAAATAGATGGTCTGCCCTTCATAATAATTTTTTTTTTTTCACAGCCAAACATAACAGTATCTTAGGATACTAAGAGAAACACAAAAAATACTTATTTCCCACTTGACGGTTAACGGAAAGAAACAAAACAACAACAAAAAACAACAACAACACCAACACATCACATGTATAAAGAAAAGGAAAAGTGCAACACCCTCATCTGAGTCCTACTGGAGAAGAAGGTGGAAAGCGGCGCATAATAATAATAATAATAATAACAATAACAATGGGACCTGCAAATAAAGAACAGCCATCACATCAAAGACATCACACATATTTAGCAATGCAGGACCAGAGTACATAGACTTATTCACATTCTGCTTCATATAGTCCCTTCTTTCTTAATTTATACAATTTCTTTAACTGAAAAATACATATACAATTCTTTAGATCCTTCTGTTGAGAATTCCACAATTTTACACCAACCACCGAAATACACATTTGCTTTAGAGTAGTCCTTGCATAAGGATGCTTACAATTACATTTCCTTCTGTGGTCTTCCTTGTCTGATCCAAAAGCAAACAACTGTTGTAAATACACTGGTAACATTCTGCTTGTTGCTTTGTGCATTACTAATGATGTCTGCAGCTCAGCTATCTCTTTGAGTTTCAAGAGTCCTGACTTAAAAAACTGTCTGTTGGTGTGTTCTCTTGAATCAGCTTTATGTATGCCCTTTTCTGTAATATTGACAATGAATAGCTCATCCCTAAAATGACCGTTTTAAAGTTTAAAGTAACCACAATGCACCTCTTCCTGCTAGCTTAAAGTGGACCTATCATGCTATATTTGAAAAATATATTGTAGGGCCATACCTATATAAAACATGTCTGTGAAGTTTTTTTTTCAAAATCCCAAACAGATACCCATTGTAGCCATGCCTCATACTGCTCAAACCCCTCTTTTGAAGCCCTGTTAGAGAAACGCAGATTTTGGGTCCTTAGCTTGAAAAAAATAAATAAGAGGAGGCGGAGGTAATGCCTGATCAGAATTCTACCGGAGATAAAGTTAAATTCTGCTGTGATAAAACGCCATCCTGTTCTAAACCACATCAAGGATTATTTCTGAAACAGTATGGAGCTCAAATGCTTTTTCTCTTGCGGGTTTATCACAAGGTGAGTTCCTTTTTATATTTCCTGCTTTTTAAACACGTGCTCTCCAGTACAGGTTAGCTCTGAGTGTTAGCGAGGCTTGCTAATGTAAACAAAGACGTCCAAAACACGTCAGGCATTGTTTCTGATAGCAACTTTCTGTGGGTCCGCCGACGTCACCTCGGATGGAAATCTGTATCCGCTCGTTGTACACCCGTTTTTAAAAGATTTGGGTACGGAGGAAAAGAGAGAGGGTTTTATTTTCTGACGCTGCGTGAGTTCCCTGACACACCGGGGACACATAGTTATGTATAAAAGACATCACAAAGTGCATTTTGCATGATAGGTCCCCTTTAAGCTTAAGCAAGGCTATTTGAAGTGGCAGTATTATTAGTGTTATTACTTTCAGTCTGGTATTGCTTTAAGTTGTATTACTAATACAAGTAGCAGTAGAGGAAGTAGTATTGGTACCAGTTGCAATATTAAGGCCTTAAGGAGAGGTTTTAATTTTAAATGCAAAAGTTAGATATGTATCACATGATTTTTTAATGCTTTTAAATTACTTCTAAGGAAAGCGTAAATATCTAATGTGTCTTTTGGGAGGCCCGGAAATGAGCTACAGTTTACAGAATGTGTTTTAGCTGCTGCAGTTTCTGCCTAATGGGACACATCAGGAAGTGTAACTGTATGGCCGTTATATCTTTCAAGTGATCTGTGTCACTCTGTTGGTTTGCTCTGGGATTTATGGGTATTTGCCATTTTGTCGTACCTCTGTTTATCCAGAGTCGGCGGACTGAGCAGATTCACTCTTCTTTTCATCACTGTACTCCTTCCTCCATTCTATCAAACATTTACACATGGAGACACAAGGGTCTTAAGTGTTAAAGGACACTATCTCTCAGCTGCTGTAATGGTTTGTATATTAAAAATGTATAATGTGCTTCATAGACAGTTATTTTAGCT